GTTAGGAAACAAAACTTCAAGACCACGGCCACACAGCCCGGAAGACCCACACCAGCCACCAGTGGCTTCAGTTCTTCTATTCAAAATCTTAGCATCAAGCCCATCATTCCTCAAAACAGATCCATAGCTTGATTTTATCTATAATTTCCTTGATACAAAAATTCTTATATTTTTAAAACACTAATTTTTTTCTATGTAAACAAACAGCTGTTTTCAGTATTCTCAGAATAACAATTATGCATAATTTTATATTAAACATAATTTTTTTTACATCTGAAAATAATGGAAAATTCGTATGTTTCTTCTTGTCAGTCTTCTTCAATTTGGGATTTTGTAGATGTCTTAGCTGGGATGATAAAAATCTAAAACAAGGATACCAGTTATCCTTACACTGGGCTTATTCTTGACATTTATATTTGTACAAAATAATAATTATTGATAATTACATAATATAGCCTATCTTACTTAGCATATCAACATTTTTATTAAATATTAGAACTCAAAGAGCAAATGCTATTATTTGCTAGTGTATTGCTAACTATCAATTTCAAGTACAATATTTCCTCTCTTTTCCTTTTGTAATGAAAATTAGATCAGGGCTTCCAAGGACAATTTGGTAAAGGAAATCCACCTCCACCTATTCCTTGGGACCACGGAGCTACTACCCATTTTCCTCTCCTTCGAGGGACGTGGCCTTACAATATATCTCCAAACTACATGCAGCAGGGAAATGCCAGTTACCCATTGAACAAACCTTTCTATCCTCAAGGTACTAGGAGAGTTTAACTATGTGATACAACTTTGACATCTTCCATTTCTTTGGGGCTGCAGCCCTTAATCATTTATTCTGAAATAGACTGAAATAAAAGTCACTATGACTTTTTGAGTCTGAATTAACAAATGTAACAAATTTGTGACACACAGAATTTTGCATACAGTAAACTTTTGAATATGCTATATGAATAAATATGGCTTGCCTCCTTGTTTAACTTGCTACATTAATTTTTACTGATGTTTAAAGAAATTTCTTTTTTTATAGAACTAACCTAGCTTACTGTAGCAAGTATTCCATACACCAGAAACACATACATGGTTTCTGGTTTATGTATATATTAAAACATTGATTGTTCAAGGTGGATATTTAAAGAATCAGATTGAAGCTGATTTTTGTAAGTCTAATTCACAAACTGCAGTGTTTCAGTCTATCTCCTTTTGAACCATTGCCTTTCTGCAGCAGCACTTTCAAGAATTTTCAGACTCAGCTTTCAATCTACATGATAAATAAAATGGATTTAGTTAATATCTACTGAAATAACTATAACCTATTTTCTTTTAGCTGGCTTACTGATGCAGAACCAGCGGTTTTCACTTCTGTCTCAAGGACATCCACACTTGAACATGAATTTTATTCAGCAGAAGAAATGAATTTTAATTAAGGGGATGGGAAGAAATCAGGTTGGAATAAAATCTTACTGCAACATGTTTAGATAAAAGATTATTTAAAACTGTTTTTAACTGTATAATTTGTACATAGATATAAAATATAGTTTTTACTAGTATCACAAGAATTAGTGATACAAATGCCATCTATTTTATTACCCTATTTTTAAGGGAACTGTGTTTTATTTTATCTTGATAAACTATAAAGAGAGTTTTTAAAATTAAGTTGTTTATTTTCTATTAGCTTTATTCATACTTTGGTTCAGACTTTATATCTATTCTAAAAAGAAATTAGAAGGAATTCATGTGTTAAAGCCTGTCATTTCTTTACTGAACAATGTAGTGCCAAAAAACTTTTTAAAAAGAAAAGAAATAAAATTGGAAAATCCTAAATCATAGCCAGACTTCCTTTTATATTAACAGTTGGATGCTACATGGTTCTGTTTTTTTAAAACTAGATGAAAAGGGTTGGGCAGCATCTATTTTAGCATTTTGAATATAGAAACATTTTGGATTTGGAGGTCTACATAAGGTATTTGCAGCAGTAAAAAATTAAAGAGGAAGCCTCACATATGCTTGTAAAGTCTTGCCATTTAACTCTCTGAGCTCCATTTGTGACAGCATATACCTTCATACTTATCCTTCCTTCATGTAATGTCTGGTACATAACTCTGCATGTATGATATGTCAGTTGCCTGTTAAAACAGGCAAGTGAAGAACTTAACAAAACAGGGCCGTTTTCATTAAATCAAGCATTTCTGGAATGCTAATACCACTTGGAGGCTTGGATTGACACATAAAACATGCTTTCTAACCTGTGGAAGTGTACCTAAGTTTACCAGCATGAAAATCTTACTGCTCTAATGAATTAAATACAGTCAGGTCCAGAAATATTGGGACATCGACACAATTCTAACATCTTTGGCTCTATGTCCCTTAACAAGTGGGAGGCACATATGCAAACTGTTTCTTCAGTTCCTGCTTCAGTTCCTGCTTCAGTTCCTGCTTCAGTTCCTGCTTCAGTTCCTGCTTCAGTTCCTGCTTCAGTTCCTGCTTCAGTTCCTGCTTCAGTTCCTGCTTCAGTTCCTGCTTCAGTTCCTGCTTCAGTTCCTGCTTCAGTTCCTGCTTCAGTTCCTGCTTCAGTTCCTGCTTCAGTTCCTGCTTCAGTTCCTGCTTCAGTTCCTGCTTCAGTTCCTGCTTCAGTTCCTGCTTCAGTTCCTGCTTCAGTTCCTGCTTCAGTTCCTGCTTCAGTTCCTGCTTCAGTTCCTGTAGAGCCAAAGATGTTAGAATTGTGTCGATGTCCCAATATTTCTGGACCTGACTGTATATGTGGTATCTAAAGCACACTCCAGGCATTATAAGACTTATGATCAAGTCCTTTTAGTAACTTAGTGAAAAATAAGTATAACACTAAACTTACTCATATTTTCAATCCTGCAATCTTATTCTCACTTACTCCAAAATAATCCCAATTGAGCTCTCTGGTACTCCCATTTTAATAAAAATGACCTGTATCTGTGTCACAAGCATTATTGTTTTCTAGCAATAGGCATATCAAGCACAGTTCAAACTGATTTGAATCAGATTTGCCATTCAGATTGAAAATCAATCCAAATCAACTTGGAAAAAACTTTCTGTACATACCCAGAAGTTGAAACTGGTTTACGCACCTCTAATTTGATTCTAATAATTCAACTGAATTGCTTTTGAACTGAATCAAGTATTTGCACTCTCCTGTTTTCTACAGCACGTATTAATAGTGAATAGGTTCAGAACAATTACCTTCATTTAAAAGATATTTTGTAATTTAAATAAATTCTGAATAATTCAGTCCTATAACTCGTGTACCAACTTTTTTAATAAAGAAATTACAAGACAAGCTTTCTTCCTACCCCACATTTACAACAATTCTTGTAAAAACAGAGGTGATCAGAATATACATTGAAAGGATGTCCATTTTAGTTAAAGATATCAAACAGGGCAATGAATAAAAGTGCAGTCTGGTTCAGTCATCCTCAGTGACCCTGTGATCACATATTACAACCTTAATGTTGATTAGAAAGTCTGGAGGGAAGAGCTGTGAATTTTGAGTGTAAGAATTCTCTTATGATCCATGAATATAGATAACTGTCTTTTAAAATTTGTAATTAAACCAAATGAGGTCAGAAATGTAAGGGGACTAAGGCTGCTGCCCAAAGGGTTGTAGAGATAAATCCACTATGTATGGTCCTGCCCTCACTTTGAACCTTAATGGGGCTTATACTGTCCAAGAAACTCTGAATGCAAAAATATTGTGAGCTGCCAGAGGAGCATCTATCTAACGTGTGATCTCATCTACCAAAAAATAATAATAAAAGAGCCTCCAATTTATGAAACAGGTTAAGGTCATTCATTTCCCCGACGGCTTTTCTTGTGGCTCTTTTTAGATCTGAAAGAAGAATAAAAGCTTTTCAGTGTTCAGTTGATACTTGGGTTCAGTGAAAATCACACAAGAAGTTATGATTCAAGTTTGCACAATAAGATTGTATCTAATCATTGATCCAAATACATCTGCCCAAATACATAACAGCTTTCTTGAACACATAGTTCAATTATAAAGACTGATTATTCCTGTGGGACAAATCTAGTGCAAAGGTTTTGTGAAGAACTGCTACATTATCATTTTGAAGTAGCAAAATATTAAGTATATACCTTTCTGGAGACTTGGAATGACTACGATGTCTGTGGCTACGATGATGCCCTGTTGAGGTAAGATGTAAAATCTTGATTTTGATTCTGCTCATACTTACATAATCTTTCTATACTCCAAACCATAATAATACAGCATGGTGAAGAGGGGAAGATTTAACTGTATTGATACAGTCACAGAAATAGTTTGCGTGTTACTAGAAACTACAAATAAATTGTTAAATGTCAAAGGAACCATCCACAACTGCCTTTCTCTGAAGTGTAAATACCTGGAGATTTAGATCTTGATCTGTGGCGTCTTTCTCTAGATCTACTCCGGTGCCTCCTTGGGCTCTTACTGCGATGTCTTTCCCGGCGTGGTGATGGACTGTTAAGAAATAATCTGTTAGTGACAAGCTTACAATATTTTTTCAAAAATCAATTCATATATCTTGCATGGTTACCTTCTCCTCTTTGGAGATCGGCTTCGCCTAAACAGGAAGAGGAGGGGACAAAATGTTATTTACCACAATACTTTTAGCACATTATGTTGGTCACCAATAGTTGAAAAATCTCAAAATGCTACCTTCTAGGAGATCTACTTCGACTTCTTCTGTAGCGCAGTGTTGGAGATCTACGAGGTTTGTCTAAATCCCTGTATCCTCTTCTTCTGTGATCAGGTGAAGGGGCTCTATCCAGCTGAAAACATGTAAATAAAACATTCTACAATAAACTACAGTGCAACATTTCAAAGGAAATCAAACATTTGTTCAAAATGTATGCACAAGCAGGTTTAGTGGACTTAATGTTATACTTTGATTGCATTTCCAATAATCCATGTATAGAAGGGAGAAGGAATTAAGACAGAAATACTGGGAAGAATCTGGTGATATATTTCCATGAGTAGAAGTGGCTTCAGCTCACAGAACAGGAATTAAACCGTTTCTTCTTTCCAAAAATCTGAGTTTGAGGATGTGTGTAGAATGCAAGATGAGAAAAATAAGAAGATCCTCCTTATAACCTCAGATTCCAGTTCTTAAGCTCATTAGCTAATAAGCACCATAATCCAATAGTCCCTCAAAACACATGGATGTGACATTCTTTGTACTATAAAGTCAGCATATGCTATATAAGAGGACTTCAATTCCAAAATAGAAACTTCACAGATTCAAACCTTTTCATCTTCCTCTTCCTCATCCTCACTAGACTCTACATCATCCATATCCTCTTCCAAAGCACTGATCCGTGGTTCCAGTTGTTCAGCTTCTTCTAGAACATATCTTTTCTACAGAGAACAAAGAGTTTCTAAATGCAGACAATACTTCAAAAGGGAAAAATTGAATCATGCACTGAATACATAGAAAGCTAACCTTTTTAGTACTGGAAGTTTGATTTATATTTTCTTTATAATATAATTGATTATATACCTGAAGTCTAGGTAAAATGATATCACAGACACGCTCATCATGAAGCAATTGATCAATAAACTCATCCACATGCATAAGCTCAAACTCTGGGGGAAAAAAGAGATTGCATTTAAGAAGGGAAACATTCTTAATTTTCATGATGATAAAAACAGCTATGATAAAATTGCAGAAAACACAAAAGATACTATATAATTTTTTTTCTATATAAACAGCAGGGTGTGTGTGTGTGTGTGTGTATTACAGTTTGGGTTGTTGGATGATATGCATTTCTTCCCTCCTCCTGACTGATATATGATTAAAACTGTCCAAAGTGTTCCAAAGCAAACATTTAATATGAAAGAAGAATACAGCACCAACCAAATGAATATATAACTTATTCTATATGTGCTACTTACACATTCAAATCTGATAGATAATGAGCTTTATAAATCATTGAATAAAGTTAGGCCACTTACCTCCATTTCTATTTTGACTTTTTATTTTTCGATAATCATTGTATAAAGGTTCAAGATATTTGTAGCAGTCTATGGCAGTCCCAGTCAGTCTCATATATAATGCACCTAGTAATCTCACATATCTGAAAATCAGCAAGAACAAAACATTAATTTATAATTACTTTTTCCAATACAATTATCTGAAACCACAAATATTCTATAATAGAATCTGAATTCACTACTAAAATCTTATTTCATTACAGTTGTTAATTCAGAAATGTTCTTGTCATACCAAATTGCTTTATGCTTATAGGTAGTCCTTACCTCTCCCTATATTATTTCTTCCTTTACTTCCACCCCATTCAATAGTTTGTTCCCGTGCGTGCACATGCCCACACACGCTCTCTCTCTTTCTCTCTCAAATACTGTACAAGGCTTACTTCTGTGGAAAATGACTGATGCATCTGTGATTGGGAGATTTCATCAGTACCTCTGAGAACTATTACACAATTTACAACAGAACTAAAGAGTATTTCCAAGAGTTCTGACTGCAAAAATTTACATCATGTTAGTAACAATGTAGCTGAGCATAAACAAATATGTATAGAAATAACAAAGACGTTTTAATGTGAATCAGTATATAGGCAGCCCTTGTTATTTATGGGGGCTCTGTTCCAGCCTATAGCTGTGCATAGTAAAACCTTGAATCTATGAAATTTTGGGGTGAGAGTGGGGCTTAGATTCTGGAGCTCCAAAAATGGTTGAGAGGGTACTGTGAAGATTGGGGCAGGGTGGGCTGATGGAAAAGAAGGATCGCTGCAAAAATGGAAAAGTACAGGGTGGGAAGACTAAGGACAGGCTATCTGATAGGATTGGCAGCAGGTTGCTTAAAAAAAAAATGGCTGGGCAGCAGCCCAATATGTACTTTTGCACTTACAAAAAATGATGGGTGGATAAGAACTATGAGCCAAACATGACTGAGAGCCAAAACCTTTTACCGTGGAGAACAAAATCTGATTTTTATTTTCCAAACACAGATATGCAAAACCATGAACAAGTACCATCTGTATAATAAAGTACTAATAAAGGTCTAAGTGCTTTAAATTACACCTTCATATTTTTTCTCTTACTTGAAGTCTTCATTCTTTATAAATTCAACAATTATGTCTTTTTCAGGCTGAATTTGTAGCATCTTCAGAGTCAAGCACAAGAATGGTGTAGGCTTTATGTTTCCACCATAAACTCCACCAGTGTACCTCAGTTCCATAGCTTTATCTACAACCAATTCAGCTACAAAAGAAATCATGAAGAATTCATCATATTAGAATCGTGTATCTGGTTGTTTCATTTTTAGTGAGGCAGTACCAGTAACCATCTAGGTAAAATTTATCAGAAGACACAATAATTATGGAGTGTATTAGAGATAGGTCGCGATTAGTGCAAGTTTGAATAATGCAATACTCGATTTAGTGCAAATTGTAAATTGATACCAGGTTGTGTTTAATGTAACCCAAAATTCAATGCAAGGCTAGAGTGTGCGCAATTGAGGCTGCTGCGTGCACAGTTGCAGTTGAAGTTTTAGGTGCTGCTAATCTTTGTGTTTGCAAAATGGAGAAAAGAAAGATTCTGTCAGAGGAAAATAGTACAAGTTTAAAAAAGAACAGGTCTGTTATTCATTAGAGCAAAGATTTGATGTAATTCAGCATGAACATGGTCATAGCAATGCTAAAATAGGATAGATGTTGGAATACCTGAACTTACAGCAGACTGTTTTTATTTTGCATTCTACAATTACTCTGTGATTTTGTTAATCATAACTTTAAATTAAAAGTATATTCTTTTTATCCTTTACTGCAATATTTCATTAATATACATACAAAAATTATGTTTAAATTTTTTCATTGCCTATCTCCATTGAGCTGGAACAAATTACCATATCTTCCATAGAAAAATCACTCTGAATAGTGCAAATTCAAATAATGTGACCATTTCATGGGGTTTGTTAACTGCACTAATCGAGACTTACCTGTACATAATCACTCTGCAGTTTCCATGTAATTTTATAAGAACCAGATGTTATTTTCCATTTGTAACCTTGTGCCTTACAACAAAAAAAGATGTAAGGCGAAAGAGTTTCACAGCTTCTTTTAACTGCAGTGCTAACAGCACAAGAGGCATAGGTTTCCATTCCGGTAAAAAACAGGCCTTCCAGTTATCCCACTATCTGTTGGGCTGTTCTGCTAATCATAACCCTGACTTACCTTGGTGACAATTTTTTTCTTCAGAGGATGAAGAAAGTTACAACAGGATCAGCTATCCTTGACCTGATACTGAAGAACAGGGAACATTTAATCAGGGAAATGTAAGTTGCAGGACCACTGGGAGAAAATGACCATGTAATATGATGTTCTTGTTTTAGAAGTTGAATATATTGAATAAGTATCTCAGACTTCAAAAAAGTAGATTTTACTAAACTCTGAATAAATTATAAGTGGGATTAATGGTAAAAAAGCTAACAAGAAAAAGCTGAAGATGGGTGGTAGTTCTTAAAAAAGGAGGTATTAAAAGCACAATTGCAAACAATTGAAATAAGGGGAAAAAGGGAAATACAACAGAAGACAATATGATTCTGAAAAGAAAGAATACATATAAGAGATGGAGACAGAGTACCCAAGGAAGAAGAGATACAGGTGGCTCAGAATTTGAGAGATGGTTCCAAAAGACTGAAAATCAAACTGAAGTTGCTAAGAACAAGGGGAAAACGTATTTTTCAGATACAGTACGTTCAAAATCAAAGGAAAAGAATACGCTAGCTACTCAATAAAGCAAAATACTCACAAGATAAAAAAGTAAAGGAAGAATTACTCAACTTCTGTTTCAGCCAGCTCTGAGAAGTTGTGTGTTCCATCAGGGAATGAAAAGAACTGAAACTTGAGATTAACACATGGGTGAGGAAAATGTCTTTACTTTGAGTTTAATTCTCCAGGTCCAGGTAAATTACATCTTAGGTACTGAAGGAAGATGCTAAGATAGGGCTGAATTTTTACCCATTATCTATATGTCTGGATGAGGACAAATGTTGTTCTCATCTTCAAACAAGGGAGAAATGAGTCTCTGGGGAACTCCAGATCAATCAGTCTGAGAGCAATATCAGGGTGATTCTTGAGTAGATTACTGAATGTGTAAACATCTTGAAAACAACACCAGTTTCCAAAAGTCAGCATGAATTTGTCAAGAACATGTCCTGCCATACTATTTCTGTCTCTCTTAAAATCAAATTTCCTTAGTAGATAGTGAAAATATAGACATAGTGTATTTTGACTTCAGCAAACCATCTGACAAGGTTCAGTCCTGTTCCCTGCTCTTCAATATTTTTGTTTATTATTTGGTTGAAGAGGCAGAAAAATACTCAATTTGCAGATGATACAAATTCGGTGGGATAACCAGAAGATGCAAATGACATTCAAAATGATCTTGGTGAGAGAAATGGGCTGGAAATAACAAATTGAAATTCAACAGACAATTGCAACGTTCTTTGCTTAAGAAAAAGAAATTAAATGCACAGATAAAGGATCTGGAATACCTGTTTTTGTCATGGTTTGTGAAAAAGATACTGGAATATTAGTTGATTACAAACTAAATATATATCAGCAGTATAATATTCAATTTTAGGTTGCATCAACAGAAATATTGTTTGACTGTATGACTGTTCCATTTTATTATGTGTTTGTGAGACCTTACCTTGAATACTATGGCCATTTTAGGGGACCATATTTAAAAAGCATTCACACAAAGTAGGTCAGGAAGGACTACCAATAGAGATTGAAGGAAATTTGTATGAAAGAACTTCAGGAATTTGAACAGGTATCACACAGAAGAACATTCTCTTATCACTCCAGAATAAAGGATCTGGAATAATGGACTTAAATTTCAAGAAAGCAGGTTCCAACTAATATTTTAAAAGGCTCCCTACACACTAAGAACAGTTCAACAGTCAAGTCAATTACCAAGAATGATGATAGGCAGGGGTGAACAAAGCACTATGATCCATTACTGCATTTCCTAGAGCATTATTTTTTTGCACACGGAATGGGAATTTGCGGGCTATACTATATCTTAAATCTCACAAAACACCCATTCAGGACATTCAAGGTTTTCTTCCTGAAATGGACATTTTATGAATGGTCATGCAGTCTTGCACATCACTAGTGATGGGTTCCCCTGCACCCAGTATGCTCAGGCTGAGGCCAGAGAGTCACCTGTCAAAGATGCTTTAATTTGTATTCCTGCACTGAGCAGGGAGGTGGTACTCAAGAGGCCTAGATCTATCATAATAATTCTGAAAATATCTGCTCTTTTCCCAAAGCTTAGATATGAGTCTAGTTTAAATTCCTGGTCAATTGGTGTCAGCGCGCAAATTATGGCTTAGATTATTGGGGGCCTAAAATTATAATGCTGCTGTACAATCCGGGAAGAAGCAGACCACTGCCCTTGATTCAAACACAGAAGTACGTAGGTGCCCTCTCCCTTCACCAGCCGTTCATTCTGTTTCCAACTCCCAAAATCTCCTCTCTCGCTACCGATCCCCCGAAAGCCCCAGCGGTCCCCCACACTCTCCGCTGATTCCTTATCCGCTCCCATTGCTTCGGGTCCAACTGCCCACAACGCTAAACTGCACCTGTGAGACCGAAGCATTCTTCCTTCCAATACTTGGACTCGTAGATGCGAGTGCGAATAATCTTCTCCACCAGGTATTGTGGGTTAGTGCCGTGGATGCTATGCGCGTCCTTTACCGTCCGGTTTGCCATGGCCGGGTTTGGCACAAAGCCCTAAGCGTGGCGCGTTTCGAGAAGGAAAAAAAAGAGATGGGAGGGCGGCCTACACAGCGGGACCGCTTGCTCCCTCCATTTTCACTTCCGCTCGGGATTCACTTCCAGAGAGAAGCGGGGTCAGGTAGTTGACACTTCCGCCACCCGCTCTCCCCCCCCGCGCAAAAAAGATTGAGGCTTCCTGCAACCAGAAGCAAACATGGCGTCTTCGGGGTCGCGCAAGTTTCTCTTCCGGGACGGGGCGGGACGACTGGGCTTTGGCGCGAAATTTCATCTCGCTGGAGGAAGAGGGAAGTTATCGCCCCGCTGAGCCGCAGGTTGGAATTTTTCTGTCTAGTTTCGTCGGGCTTGAAAGGGTGAATTGCAGCCTGTCGTGGAGCTAATCGTTGCCATGTAAGGGGATTTTTTTTCCCCGGCGATGGCATTACTAGCTTCTAAGGACAGTAATGTCGTATTGAAGCTAAGTGGAAGATTAATCTGCATTCTATGGTCTCTTCTCCACTGTATTTAGAAAGTGGGGGGTGGGAGAATAACACAGAAGATGAGAATTAAGCGATGCCCTAGCAACCGGATGTTTAAGTACTTTTTCTTCTTTTGCTCGTATCGTGTATATCATACGATCTGATCTTTCGTGGGTTTTTTTTCACAGACATCATGAACACAAGAAGCCAGAGAAAACGCATCTATTCATGGTTTGGCAAGGCTATATCTACAGACAGGCAATTGCAGATCTCTCATTATAGGTGTGTCAGTCGGTTTTAGTTATTTCTTGTTAGAGAGCTAGTAGGTTCTGGAAAAATGCATTATAATACAATTGCGCAGATAATTGAGCAGTAGTAGATATAAAAACCGTTCTACATGAATCAGTATGGCAATAATAATTAATATATAGTGCTGTCATATGCATGGTGCATTATGAAGGAAGAACCTAAAAAAAAAACAGTGTCTAAAAGTTGACAAAATGGTGGCAATGGAGGGAAAGAAGATGGGGAATGGCAGTTAATATGTATCCAGTAATTTATATTTAGGCTTAGATTCTGGAGTTTAGAGCTAAGCAGCATAGGAAAACATATTTAGTGGGAGGATTTAAAGGTAAGAGGAGACATACAGTACTGTGCAAAAGTTTTAGGCAGGTGTGAAAAAATGCTGTAAAGTAAGAATGCTTTCAAAAATATATATTGTAATTCTTTATGTTTATCAAT